CAAAAGCAACGTGGCCAGCAGGTCAAGGGAGGTGACTTTGTCCCTCTGCTCTGCTCTGGTGAGATCCCACCTGGAGCACTGCATCCAGCTCTGGGGCTCCCAATACAGGAAAGACATGACCTGTTGAAGCAAGTCCAGGGGAGAGCCACAAAGGTGAAACAATGCCTGGAGCACCTCTCCTATGAGACAGGATGAGAGTTGGGGTTGTTCAGCCTGGAGAAGGATCCAAGACCTCAGAGCAGCCTTTAAGTACCTAAATGGTACTGGAAAGCTAGGTATCTAAAGCTTAAAAGAAGGCTGGAGAGGGACATTGATAAGGACATGTAGTGACAGAACAAGGGACAATGGCTTTAAACTGAAAGAGAGTAGGTTTAGGAAATTCCTTACTGTGTGGATGGTGAGGCACTGGAACAGGCTGCCCAGAGGAGTTGTAGCTGCCCCATCCCTGGAAGTGTTTAAGGGCTGGTTGGACAGCACTTTGAACAACCAGGTCTAGTGGAAGGTGTCCCTGCCCATGGCAGGGGGGGTGGACAGAGCTTGATCAACACTGCTTTTTCCCTTCACAGTGGTTTCCAAATTAGGCTTTCAGCTAAAAGAAAAAATTTCCAGGAAAGCACTGGGGGACAACAACTCCTGGTTGCAGTCACACATTACCTGTTAGTAAATTCCCTGTGCTGTGCAACACATCTCTTCAGTCTGTGCTTTAAATTGTCCTCAAGCTATTGCCATGTCATACATTATATTTGCAAGCCATCTTTGTAAGCCAGTAAAATATTGTCATGTGAAAACGCACATATATACTTGAAATAAAAGCTTTTTGTGGCCAAGTAACAAGCCCTGGAGTGATTGTTCAGGTCAGGTGATATGGGCAGCTGTCTTCTTCTCAGAGGTGCAGCTGTGCCTCTCCCTGCCTCAAACAAATGCTCCAAAGTGGTGAGGGACAAGCACAAGCTCTTGACCCACCTCCTTTACACAGGACACTTGTCTCTGCAAGAAGGTGGTGTGCTCTCATGGGATGGGGATTTATAAAGCACCTTCAGTGGGAAAAGCAGCAGCACCTGTGAGGAGCTGTGTCCTTTCTGGAGGAGGTCTCTCCACAGCTGGGATGGAGTGCCAGAAGAGTCAGGTTGGCAGGACTAATTGTCCTTTGAAAACCAGAAACATCTGTGTTCTCACACCCCAAGGTGGCTCCACCTGCCACTGGGATTACATGTACCACCTCCTGCAAAACTGACCAAATAAAATGGAAGAATTCCCCTATAAGACACCCTTGAAAAAAAAAGAAGTGAATTTTCAGAACAAGATTAGCCACAACATTGCGTATTTGCATTTTCCACATGGAATCCTGTGAATTCTTTCAAAATTGAATTAAGTGCAATGTGACACCCTGACCCTCTTCTCTCAGCAGGTCTTTTCTTTCTGTCCTCTGAATTCTACTTCACTCCTTTTCTCTAAACTTGCTAGTTTTGCTCAGTTCCACCTCCCTCATCTTCCTCAAGTCCTCTTCTTTGCTAATGTTAAATGACAATTATGGTCCCTACCCATTTCCAGTCAAAAGGCCAAATCCTGCTTTCACTTCAGCCACAATCCTGGAATTTTTCACCCATTTTTATGTATATTCCTGCTTTCTCCAATGCTACCATGGAAGTTTAGAAACAGTTCCCTACAAACAGATGGGAGACCACCTAACTTTTCATTTCCTCTTAAAACTCTCATTTGGGAAACAAATGACAACAACTGAACTACCAGTTTGTTGAGATCCTCACCAGTCTCACCCGTTCGTCCAGTTGTAATGTTCTCTGCTCCTATCATTGGTTTCCCATCTTGTATTTGGACTGAAAATTTTCAGAGTGGACTTTCTGTGGTCAAAGCATACCTTTATATATGGGAACAGGAGGAATGTAATCCTACTAAAAATTAAACCAAACCCAGTATATTTTAAGTAAACACATACATAAATACACATGTCCATATATATAAACACATATACTGTTGGTGTGTTCATATGTGTCTCCTAATAAAACCGTAGTTACCCTCAGTTATAAAAAACACTGATTTCTGTGGTCACGCAGCTGAAGAAAGCTAATCTCATGTAGGTTTTTCTTGTGGAAGAACACACACAGAAAATGAATTACACTCATGTACCAATCCCTTCTATTAGCTCAAATGAATGCTGTGCATTTATTTATCCACAGACAGATGCAGTTCCCCCAAGACATGGGAGTTGTGGTTCAGAGACTTTGAGTGCCTTTTCAGCTGCACATACACTCCAAATACACACGTTTGAGAGATGGGAGTCTTTGAATACAGACTTTTAATTTTCTTCAACAAACTCTTAGCTCCAGTTAAGTTCATCAAACCAGTACATAAATATTCTCACTCGCTCTCTCTCTATATACATCTGCATACACACACATATATGTGCATATATATAATCATATACATATACACACATACAAACAGGAGAGCCAGAAACATTGCCCTTTGCCCAGTACCTTGCAATATGTTTTTCTGGCTTGTTATTCTGTTTCAGACAAAAATAACGAGACCTTTTCTCCATGACATGTTCAAAAAGGCACTGATAGGCACCAGACAGCACAGGCTGGTGCACAAACCAGCTGTGACGGTCCCTGTGCTCACTAAGTAACAGGCAATCTTTAACGCGTGTTTTGAGAGAGGAAAATGGTTTTGGTATGTATGGAGCCAAATCAATCTGCATCTCAGCAAAAAGTTAAGGCTTGAGAACCTGAACCTGGTGGCTTATCAGGCAGATTTCCACAAATAACAACCTCACTGTGGGTGTATTCAAATTATCACGTAACTGTCTAGGAAAGTCCCCATTACTCCAATGCAGTCTCAAAAGACAACTTTACCCATCTAGCAGAGAAATTTTAACAGCAGCAACTACTACTTCAACATACTAAAACTTGCTTTACTAATATGAGTCTGTATTTTCTAGGGACTTAAAATCTAGTCCACTGGAAGGCACTATGCCTTCCCTCACTGCCCAAACAACACTGTCGTGTCACACGAAAATAGAAACTGTGATGAGACATTCAGAGCTGGATCAGACAAACGCTGTGTAGGCTGTGAAGAGCATGGTCCTTGCATTCCCAGAAATGGTTCATGAAAGTTTCACCATTAAGTGGAAACCAAGTTGTTTTCCAGCTCTTACACATGAGCCTTTCTCTATGGTTCTTGTGCGAAACAGGAACAGTGCTCAGTGCCATCAGAGGCCCCTTCTTTCACCACTTCTTTTTTCAATATAATTGGAAATCACAACCCTGGGAGCATTTTGAGGACAAACTTTTCTTACACATGTCAAGGGGAGTTTTCAACTGACACCACTATGACATGCATTTTACTTATGTTTGACCAGGTTTTGTGAAATGCCCAGTAAAATGGGATTTTCCACACAACAGTGACATTTGGATACTGCCTGTACAGACAGCAGGAAAGAATATCCACTTAAATACCCCAGATACCACTCAACATGTTTTAAAACTCCAAGGAACAAATGGTCTTTGTGTTTGCTTTGGAGCAGGGCAGTATCTGAAAGGGCACAGGTCATATTCAATTTACCCTGGGCTAGGTGGAACTTTATTTCCTACAGACAAAATTTGATTTCTGAAGTAATTCACTAGTCTCTATTGTGACTTTTCGATAAAATATTTGTGAAGGATTTGTATGTTCCAAAATGAAAACCTGCACTTGTTTCAAAACATTTAACTAGTTTGCATATGCCAATTATTACAGGCCTGTTTTCTAATCTGTGTCCTTTGCTTTCTAAGACAGCAGGTTTCTGGAGTTCTCTGGGTACAGAAATGCCCGTGGCCTACACACAGAGAGAGCCACTCAGCTTCACAGAAAAAAACCCCCTCTCAATTAAAAAGGAGACCCTTCCTAAATAATGCAATCATAGCAGCAAGCCAAACAAGAAAATACAGGGTCATTCCAAAAAAACACCTTATTTCATCCACTGGAAAATACAAAAAAAAGTACACACAGGACATTGAATTTATTAAAAATTGTGTCACATGCTGAAAGCTGCACAAATTTGATGCAATTCATGGATAAGGACTGTATGCCTCAAGGACTTTTTTCAGTTTTACTAGTCAATCAAAAAATGAAAAGAAAGGTATCTCTCTCTCCCTAAATCTTGTCCCGTAATTTCCTGGTACATTTTCCAGGCTGAGTGAGATTGTGAAGAACTGTACTTTGGCACACACGTGTTCATTTGCATTTCCAAAACATCCTCTCTCCTGTATTCTTTCCCCTCCTTTGCTCTGCACCTGCTGTCACCTTTGTCAGGCTTCTTATGACCTATATCTTATTCTAAATGTGTGTATGTATTAACTATGCCTGTGTGTATATAAACAGACACATACACACATGATATACAAATACGACTACATACAGAAACAGACATTAAGTGACTAAGATACGTGTGTAGATTGGTTTCGTGGAGTAACAGTTTGGAATCTTCTGTTCCTTCAGCTTGGTTTGATAGGGATGTTCCCCTCTCTCTACCCGACCTCCTGCAGCTCCTAAGGTGCTAACACTGAGCACTTCTGAGAGTGAAGCCAAGAAAGCTGATTTACCACTCTAAACTTCAACCCCAGTATTGTACGAGCTTGGCACTCTGTCCTCTCACCTCCTGTGCTAGTCTGAATCACCCTGAACGTTAATATTCCAGCCTGTGGTCAACACTAGTTGCTTCAGATGTTGAGCATTCAGCAAATGCAGGATCATCCACATCTCTGACACTAGAAAACTAGAACTATATATAGAAAAGTTAGCTTTTTATCATTTTAAGACAGTATGTAGCCAGCTGAAAAAAACAAAACCAGCACATCGGGCACAGCCTAAATCCATCGTTACAGTCCTCTCAGAATTGGACATAGAAGTCATTCAAGTCATTTCAGTTCTGATCTTATTGCATCATTCAATTCACCTTTATTGCTTCCAGTGAGAATCTTCACGACCTGTGTGTGAACAGAATCCACTCAGCTTGTACCAACTCGGACTTACAGAGGTCACTCACCATCGCTTGCAATACACACGTGAGTTTTCTCTCATCCTATCGGTGTGTTATGTACTGAATGACAAATTTTATTTAAAAAGGAATTTGAGAAATAAAATATTACAGGCATTAATAAAACTTTGCAAAGAATAACATAATAGTCCCATAATCCTTTGCCAAGCTGAAAACGAAATGATCTTCAAACCTCCTATTACTGTAATCAAAAGTCAAGTACTGCAAAATAAGATGTAAGCTAGAGGAATTAGACTTGTAAATGAAGAAAATATGATTTTTCTTGACAGGTAAATCTAGTTGTTGTGGTTGTTGGAGCTGCTTTTCCTAGTCATTATGTCTGATAACATGTCTAACAAGGACTTACGAGAAGAAAACCACCTAGTTTATTTTAGAAATAAATTCTGGTGGTATCCAGTAACAAGTAGAAACTAAAGTTACTTTGTAAAGGAAAACCAGACTAGAAACCACCAAGTGAACTGAAGGCTTGGGAACAGTTCATATCATTTCTTATCATCACTTTGAGTCACCAGTCATGCGGGGCCAGTTTCTCTTTTCGGACGCTCTTGTGGGCTGACCTTGGTGAGTCTGCCCAGCAGGTGGCTTTGATCCTCCTCCAGGCATGTACAAACCATCGAGTGAAGTTCCTTCACACACAAAACCATCAGTGCTGCAGTAGAAAATTAGTGGCTACATTTAAGTCATTATTTGAAGCCCTCAGAGCTTCTAGAGCATCTCCTCTGGAAAATCCCATTTCCATAAGTCGTGCAACCTGGAAAAGAAATGGAGTGACATCACTTTAAAACCAGAGTTTTGTTCACACTGTGTGTGCACTAGTCACATGAACAGTGTCAGAAATCACTTTTCCACTAGTCAAAGTCACATCTGGGACAGCATGCTCGGAAACACTGCTAGAAATGACTGCCTGCTGACATTTTATTCAAAACCATTCGCTGAAAGTGCCACTTAGACATAAACACCTATATTTTCCTAGCTAGTCCAGTTAGAAGAGTAAAATCCAAAGTGTAGCACCACACAACTACAGTCTGACCTGGGGGCTTGCTGCTCTTCACAAGAACAGGATCTCAAGAAACCAACACTGATCACAACATGCCATTTTACAGCAGATGCAAAAACCTATCCAGAAACTCTTAGCTCTACATTCCTTGAAAAGACTTGCTTCCCCAGAGGGCATTGAAAAACCTCCAAACTATTAATTCTAGGTGGCTTTTTTTTAAGAAACCCCTGAAAGTTCGCTCTAAAATAGAGGCAGTGCAATACTTAAACGGGTTTCTGCATATACTCAAGAAAGCATTAAGTCAGTGACATCTGTTGTAAGAATTGCATGGAAAATGACACATTAAGACAATGATTTTGGCAATCAATAACCACTTGACCATCCCTCTTCGTAATATCATGTACTTGACACCTAACCTTTGTGCTCTGCATTGACAGATACTCAAATCACCACGTGTAAAAGCAATGTATGCCATTTTTCTGTACAGAAAAAAGCCAAAACCAAATGTAATTTATGGTTAAATTTCAATCTATAGTACATTTAAACTGATTCACTTTTATAACCAATATTCCAGAAAGCAGAATGACATGGTGTGGGGGGACAGAGAGTGGCATGTAAAATTAACTGTGGCCATGGGCAGCACAAAGCATTCCCCATTCTGCTTCAAATGGGCCTTGTGACCAGACACCACAGCTCCTGAACCTGGAAGTCCTGGGCTACAGGAGCTGTCTGAGAGCTACTGCTGCTTCTCCCCTGTCTGTACAGAGCCTGCAGCAGCAGAATGAAGCTGAGCAGAAACACAGCAGAGGCTGTTTACCTATCAGGAGGAATCTTCCCAGGGTGCAAGAGCAATGTGCAGCAGTAGTTTTGAAAGTGCTTTAAATGCCTTTTAAAGAAAGGTGCCATTAAAAACAGCTTTTCTTTCCTGTAAGACACCTCCACAATTTTCACTGTTTTTAACCTTCTCTGCTTTGGCAGCTTACGGAGAAATAGACAACTCCCAAGTATGCCTAGAGGTGGAGGTCCTCCTTTTCTTAATATAAATACACTATCACTAAGTGTTTCAGAACAGCTACCTTAGTTGTCAGAACATCAGCCTTACAACCCAGGGCCAGTTTCCCACCTCCGTGTAGAGAGAGAAATGAATTGTTACTTTCAACACTTCTGCAACAACAATTTCCTAACCTGCAACTTTCCAAAGTTTCCTCTGTCTGATTTTTCATCTAAGATTGTGTTTTTTATGATAAAAAGGGCACACAGTGGAATAAAAGCTCACCACAGAAAAACATTTCAGAGGAAAGGTTTTTACTGCAGTTGCTGTGAATTCTAACCTTCAGAATTGGTGGATGGAATTGCAACGTTCCCATTTACAGAAATATCCAGCGAGCATCAGAGGGAAGAGCAACAACAAAAATCTCTTCTCATCTGAGTATATTTTAACCACAGGAAGTGAATCCAGCTCCAGGAAACAGATATGTGTAACTAGCAACGGTAATTTAGGGTGCTAAAAACCCTCAAGAAATGCAGAGATTTCTGTACCATTGCAAATGTTCACAAACATTAATCTGCAGAACAGATTAAACCCTTCCATTTCTGCCATTCAAAGACAACTTGTGTAGTTACTAGCAGAGTACTGAGAAACCAAAGGTGCTTCAACTACTTTTTCTCTGCAAGGTAACCAGTCAGCATTGCAAATGGCAGGAATCAGGTGAGCTCTACAACTTCAGTGCATCAGAAAATATAAGCATATATTGCTTTCATGAATCTGTGCCTCAAGGCTTTGGGTAAGAATCCAGCGTAAGTCAGACTAGTGACTATTTCATTAGTTTCAGCCCAACAATAGAAGCTCTCATAAGCAGAATTTGTCAATAAAACAAATAAATAAACCAACCCAGCAAGGAAATCTTTTGGTCCCTCCCATACTGGCACTGAGCAGACTTTCAGGCCAGCCAGAACTAAGTTTCTGGGCTTTGTCTCAGAAGGTTTTTGGCTGTTTTTCTTTTTGTTTCTTGGTCATTGGTTTTGGGGTGTTGGATTTTTTGCCTTTTTGGATGTAGTCCAGCGAGTTTGCAGTCAAAACCACCAGTGCAGTTAAGGTTTTGAACATTTTGAACATAAGCTAATACTGAATCAAAACTAGAAGTTAGATCATAGCAAAGATTTCTGTTTGGGAAAAGCTCATTTTAAACTAACTAGAAATGATAGTGTGGTGCTAGCCAGTGTTGATTTATCTCCTTAAAAAAAAGAAAAAAGGGAAAAAAAGAAGTAACCTTGAACCCTACTCTTGTTCAAGGGTAGCAGAGACCTTAGACTCTAAAGTGGCCAATACAGCTCACTGCAGGTAGGCTCCAACCTGGAGAACTTGATTGCATGCAAAAAATCTTGAATACAGAAATAAGACTAATCTTAAATTCTTTTATTTCCAAGTAAATCATCCTCTCATTTGAGAATAAGCTATCAACAAAAGTCTAGAAGTCTAAACCTACACAGTAAGCCTAAATCTATACTTGGTAGAAAGGACCCAGACTTCTCTGTGGCATCAGTACAACCACAGTCAACCACATTACTAAGGGAACATCCAAAGTTTTAGCTCAAGTGTGTTTTGCAGTCCACAGCTGGTATAGTTCTTACTGCAAAAAAACTAAATGACTGAGTTGGAAACTTAAGCTGGGAATGCAACGAAGAAAATGTCTACAAGACAAGTAATGAAATCTATTTGTCATTCCTCCTTCTTAGCAACATCTGTTTATCAGATTTGAATAGTTAACACCACTGAAACCATCCCATCTTGAAATGCAAAATGCAAGCAGAAGCAGACACTCCCAAGCTGCAAATTGCTGTGTAACTCTGGTTTGGATGGTAATGGCAATTTGCTGTCTCTGTATTGTGACCCTTAACAGATATTCTAATTTTTTTACCTGTTTCTTTATTCTAATCTGACAGAGAGAACATTTAAGAACTGTGCAAACAGATGATAAAAATTAATAGAGTTAATTCCTAACCATTTTCAATGCCATTTTAAAATAGAGAAATGTTTACCTGCTCTTCAGAAACCTCAGTAGGTGGAGGTATGTCTTGTTCAGATGGGCGATGATCTTGATAGTTCGCGTTATGTCTGTGACGTAACGGAGGAAACAGTCTGTTCCAGTTTATCATCCCACCCTGAAAGCAGACACTGCTGTCAGTCTTTGCAAAGAGGACTGCAAATACTTTAAACAAAAAGATCATCCATATCACATAATATGAAAAGCAAATGTATGAAGCAAAATATATTTTAATCCACAAAAACTGCTGCAGTCTCTTATGAAGCAAAAATCAGACTGGTTACTGCTTTACTAGTTATTAGAAGTAATCACTGCAAATGAAGGAAAAGTGCTAACAGAAGGAGGAAAGGATGTTTCACACCCTTTGGGATAGATCTGGTTTAGTACAGTGCTAGATTTCTCAGGCTGAAAGACTCCTGTCTTTATTGATAGGGACTTACCTGGCAAGAGGTACAACGGCAGGTCCT